GAGCCCGCTGCTGAAGTACTTGTTTTCTCCGAAATCCGCCCGCCTCAGACAGCAGTGGCTTTCCCCTCTGTATATATACACATTATACATATATATATTTTTTCCTCTCTTTTGCAGAAGCAAAAGCTTCACCACAGAGGCTATTTAAATCTTTTTATTACGCAGCGCTCTTCGCGGGCGAGGTTATTTATAATACGAACCCTTTTCTAAATTCCTCCCGGTTAAGTTACTCTGTTCATTTATCAAGCTTTGCCATTCGTAGAATAATATCACACCCTGAGGCTGTTATGTTTCTCTTCGCTGGTATGAAATAAACCTCCTCTTAAATATTTATTGCACGTCATCTGTGCTTTTAAAAGTCAAATTAAAAAAAAAAAATCTCCGGTATTGTTCCTAGTTAGCAAGGACTAATAAAATTTGTACGTGCACCTGAAAACTCCCTTGTTTCACAGCTACTCGATGTGGGCTTAAACGGACTGTTTTAGCCTATAATAATTGAGAAGACTTTTATAGTAATTTTTCGTGATTTTCGAGTAAGCGATTTCACTTCAATTCGGTCACCTTGATTCAGATTCCCGAAGTCTTTTAAAAAACGTTAGCATCTCTCCCCACCGCGCATTTCTGTGCCTTGTATTACTTGCACGCGTACAAGAGTTCGCAGAAAACTACGAAAAAAAAAAGTATTAAAATTTCTGGGCGCCAATGAACAAGATTTCATTCAAGCTTAAAGGAATTTAGAAGAGGCAAATCTTGTAATGTCTGATCCTTCTAATCAAATGACTTAACAGCTCTCGTGTATTCTAGGGATTCCTTTTAAGTTTTATTTTTTTAGTCTATGCGATAGCGTAGGCCGGGTGTGTTATAAAATGCCTGTTTGACATATTTAAACAGTCTCAAGTTAAATAAGCTCTTTTTTTTTTTCTGCAAGGCTTTTTTGAAAACGTTTTCTCAATTCATATTTCTGTTTTTTTTTTTAAACTCCATTGCCGCACACCGTTCAAGTAGAAACTGAAGGAAAACGACTGTCCATAACTCGGCTTTTATTTGCTGAAGATTTGGGCGGAATCTCGCGTTTTGTTTTTGTTTTTTCCTTTTCTTTTTTTTTTTTTTTGGACGGAGGGGTACCGCGAATTTGTTTCTCTGAGCCTTGCGGCAGGGCCCGCGGAAGGG